CTTCCCTCAACTTAGCCCATTAATATTTAGTTCCTGTTGTCTACCATAATTTTTATTTTAGTATTTATTTTCAACATGGCCTCAGCCATTACTCAAGAAACATTAAAAATGGAGCTCGAGTTTCCTTTTAATTTGTTTGTATGTATGGCTTAATTACTTACTGTGTTATTTAATTAAAATCCCAGGGTTAATATCCCCTTTCGATCTTTATTTGTGTCTTAAACACATACATCATCATGAGAGCAGAGAGTGTGGTGTGGTAGGTAGACAAAGACCACAGGTGACCACTAATTGTCCGCTGACCAAAGAGCCGAGAGAAGGACCGCCGGCCACCACAACCACCAGCTTGTGACGTAAACACACGACCTAAATTAGGAAACAACTAATTAACTGTACAGTATGTAAATATGAGACAGCGAATTAGTGAATCTTTTGCAACACATTTCTTACACTGACAGTTGCGTTAGGGAGGTGTGCAGAAGACCTAGTCGTAAGTATACATTATTATTATTATTGATTCGTTTTGTTTCACAGTAGAAAATAAATGAAAAACTCAAATATTCAACCGCACAAATAATCCGAGTGTACTTCGTTAATATACTGTAAGTGTTTTAATATACAATAGCGCAACGAACATGACACGTGAAAACATTAATATACAAAACACATTATACTTAGCATAACTGAACAAGACCCGATGGAGATTTCAGTATGGCTCTATATGCTTCGCCCCCTGAGTCAACTGAAGAAACTGTGGGAGACGAGACTGCTACAAAACCAGACAGTACAAATAACGCTCTTCATTGCTACATACCACCACTCTCTCACAGCCTTATTACACGTTATGAAGGCGTTATTACCTGTGAGCAACACTGCGGCGTGGTTGGGTCATCTTCAACAAGCTTAGGTTCCCGCTAACCCTGAGTACCTGGCCACAACATGGGAAAGGTAATCCCTATACGGTATATATAACCCGTCACTGAGTCTACCAGTTATCAGTCTCTTAAACGCTCTTCAACATGGCTATTAAGGTAGAGTTTGTAGATCTCTTTCCTTCTTTATGACTAACGACTCGACTAGAAGACGAGTTTACAGACCCTTATAGTTTCTCATCCACTGGCAGTTGAAGCACCATCTTCTAAAACAACTGTAACCTATAGTGTTGAAATATTACAAGTTTATTTATAGACGCAAAGAAACTAAACAATAATGAGTTTCGTATTTTACAGGTTATTGTCCTCGCAGCTCTTCTCGTGTCGGTGTTGGCTCGGGCGTCTAATCTGCCACATTCCCATCATGATGTAAGTCTTATCACCACGTTCAGTTTACCTCCGTCACTTGACTTTTTGATATTAACGAAATCTTCATTGACATGTTAATTTTGATAGAGAAAGTCATATGGTGGTGCAAGGAATAGATAACACAATAAGACCTAGCCTAATCTAACCTATATTTACCATAACTACCCGAGGATTCTTCAATTATAAGTTACGTGTGGGAGGTTCTTATGGTTAGGTTCATAATTGTCAACACAGATAGTTCCATCTCTCATAATTTTTAATCTTGTTGGAGTATTGTAATACTAACCTTGTTACACACTTAAAATCTTCCCTGTACTTGTAGAAGCGCAATAATAACGGTATAATATAATTGTCATATTTTTCTTGCTCTCCACCGTATTTGTATATATAGTACTTACGTTCTTTACCCGAACAGTCACTTTGGTCTGCCACTTTATTATCACAGGGACTACAGTCTCATACCTGCAATACACACAAAAAAATGCAAATTAGCAAAAAACAGAACATGGTAGGTAAGCGAGCAATTTTCAGATCTTTCGTTTGTGTCAACTCTGACACATAATTTTAAAATAATCATTTGCAATCTGTTCTAACTAGAGATTTAATTCTTTTACTTTTAATTCTTAATGACTAGGGATATTTACTAAATAAGAATACGCGCTTAAAGACAGAAGTTGTTGAAACACAATAATTCATAATAACAATTCTATGGACGAGGCTTTTATATGTTTTTCTATCTAAACCCAAATTTATTCATAGACTTCCCGTTTTATTCCCCGCCATAAAGTGTGTTCTATTGACGTGTACAAGATATCTCCCTCACAGTCTCCAGCAAACTACGAGTTCCAGTACGCCGTGACGGATGAATATTCAGCTAATGACTTTGGTCAACAAGAATCACGCGACGGTGACTACACACAGGGCTCATACTACGTGCTGCTTCCTGATGGTCGCCGCCAGAAGGTGACTTACACCGTCACGGGAGATTCTGGCTACGTGGCCGAGGTCACCTATGAGGGACAGGTCCAGTATCCCACCTCCTAGCTAACACTAAACTGTACTGCTGTGCTATTCCTTAAAACACGAGTAAAACCATTACACTTTTCAAAGTTCAAATAATCTTGTAGGGTAATCATCCATTGTTCATGTTCTCGTTGTTAATAAAGTTTTAAAATGAGTTATCTTCCTGTCATTCTCCGGAGAAGACCACGTGTTTTGTTTTGATGTTTGATATCACAGAATCGATTAAAGTGCCAAATCATTATTTTTTTTTAATTACATTAATTTGGCTATAAACATACACCTATACATATAAACATCGAAATATAACAGTTAAGGCTTCGGAATACCGATATTATTAAGGCAAAAGATCGAATTTTGAAAAGGATGATCATAAAAAATGTAACTCGCTAAATACAGAACATCACACAAGTATCAAAATTAAACACTTAAGAGCTCCAGCACTATTTTGGCGAAAGGCCAATATGCAAACCAGAAAAGAATCAAAGTAAGAGCATCAGTATGATTTTTACGAAAGACAGTTTTAACTTCTCAGAAGCATCAAAATATAACTGTACCAATATTACTTTGACGAAAGGAGCAAACCTCTGTAGAGTCCGTTTAGACTATATTCTACATTATCTATAAAGCCTCAAAACATCATGCAAATATTTATGAAACAACGAATAACATCGATCCAGCCACTAGCGTAGCTAGGGGGGGCGGCACTTTTGGGTCTGCTCATCACCCATATCTGCAGCTACTGGAGACGTTAATCCATCCCTTTGTATCGGCGGCAAGTTAATCCTTGTCGTGTCTGACCTAACACCTGACCCACATCATCACGGCCACGTCATGAGCTACGTACACCCTTGCTATGAGGCCCCCCCCACACACACAACCTGTAACCTGTTGAGGATTAAGGAAACAACTTCAAACAAGTACGCCAGTGAGCTCATGTGGTGTGGGTCAGGTGTTAGGTCAGACACGACGAGGATTAACTTGCCGCCGATACAAAGGGAAGGATTAACGTCTCCAGTAGCTGCAAAACCATGCAGTCTCGGGTCATATCAGTTCATGTACAGCCGACCAATCCACCAGTTACAAGCAATTCACTTCAGTTCTGCACAAGTCTCCATCGTGACAAGACGAGGGAAGGCTAGACGACTTTTAAGTTCTCTTGTGTTTTCGATCCAGTTATTTACTTCGTTGGAAGACATAATACTATAAGGTAAGAGATATTAAAGTATTGGTTAAAAAATATTGATGTGACTTTTGCTGCGACATTGATAAAGAGGAGTTCCTCGTTGAGAGAAAAAGACTTCAGCATTTTGTTGCTGTTGCTGCTATAACTATTAAAGACAGAATACAGACGTGGAAAGAAGGCCCCCCTTGAACTTTTGCAGTTTATTCAAAAGTATAACCTTGGGAACTCGGTTCCAAATATAGTAATAATGCTGAGAGGAGTTTTTCGAAACTAAAACTGATCAAGAATTACTTAAGATCTACTATGAGCACCTTGCGGTTGAGAAATCTTGCCATACTGTCTATAGAGCGACAATTGACAGATGAAATAGTTTTTGACAATGTCATTGAAGAATTTGCCAACAAAAAAACAAGAAAAGTTACTTTGTAGAAAGTTGTAGTTTTCATTTCAGAAATAAAGATGGTCCTAATTTTTTACACTTTTTTACTTTTTTCCCTATCCTATATGTCGTTTTTGCTTTTTGTTTAACTGTTACTTATAAAGTTTAAGTATGTTTGGGGTGTATTTAAAGCATACTATATTTGAGTATGTGAAAGTACAGTAATATTATAATGGTACACAAACTATTTAATATATATATATATATATATATATATATATATATATATATATATATATATATATATATATATATATATATATATATATATATATATATAAGAGTGAGTCACTGTGCAATATGTATTTTTTGTGGGGGCAGGGGGGCGGCAAACTCAAGGGCCGCCCCGGGCGGCACACACTCTAGCTACGCCACTGGATCCAGCACACTCCTCTATTATTTCGTGAGGTTCTTAAGTGCCTTGGGAAAGTAAAGGTACAATATATATTGTCAATATTGCCACCACGTTCTCGGATTTGTCCACACACCCAGCAACTGCGTCAAGCAGGATCGTCCGGGCATAAAACCGCGGTCTTTCCTTCACTTATTTATTATTGTTTAATTAATTTATTGCGCCCCAGGGGGCCATCACGCCATCAATGGAGTGGAGTGGACGCAAGACATATTTCCTGCAGCTGTGAACGCCATCAATGGAGTGGAGTGGACGCAAGACATATTTCCCGCAGCTGTGAACGCCATCAATGGAGTGGAGTGGACGCAAGACATATTTCCTGCAGCTGTGAACGCCATCAATGTCAACACTGTCATGGACGTAAACATTGACATCCTACCTGATGAAATTCTTGTTAAAATATTCCGTTTACTCCCTCATCAAGACCTACTGGCAATGTCATGTGTCAGCAACAGATTTAATAATATTGTAAATGATCGTCAAGTTGTCAGGTATGATAAAAATGTCTTTAATAGGATTTTTTTTAACTCAAATACAAAGTGTTTACTGTGTGACTATAATGTTTTACAATTTATCATTATTTATTCGGTATTTTTTGTAACTAATAGACTTAGGTAAATAAAGTAAGATGGAATTACTGTATGTACTAAGGTGGTTCACAGCCTCACCAGCCAGCCCTACACCTAACATGTTAGTTCCATCATAGCCTGACTGTGGTTGGCCTTCATCACCAGAGCAGCAATAATTGGGTAACATCGAGGAGAGTGGTCAAAGTTAACTGGCTATGTACCCAACGGAAAATCTGTATTGAGACAAAAAAAAAAAAATAGTATAATACTTTACAACAGTTGCACACCTTAGCCAGTTACTTGAGGATATTTCATATGAGGAAAACTTTTTTCGGTAATCATGGAGCAGATGGCTAACACGCGTGTTCGATTTCTTTAATTTTTTGCATAGATGTTCTTTGGATGATACCTAAGAAATAAAAACGATACAACAATGCACAGAACCTAACCTAACCAACCAAAAAAAGCCTACTTAACCTTACCTAAACTTCCTAGCCAGGGGGGGCAGACTCCCCTACATATTAAACAAAGTACTTATTTTGATATCTGGAATTAATGAAAGTAACTTTGTTGAAGCGTCATGGTGTAATATTAAGTTTTTTGTGGACATGAGGGTACGATCAGACTGAGCGGGTTGGTTGTAAATAAACAGTGGAGATGATAACACACGCTGACAATGGCAGATTTTCAGAGGAATACTTACGGTAATAATAAATTTCTTCATGTACAAAACACACAGAGACATCATCTTAGTGTCATATGATCAGTTTTTCACCATGATTTATCCTGAAATTTCCCTCACCCTTCATACCCTGTCCACTAAAGGTGATTTTTGATCACAGATAAAGACAAAATTTATAGTTAAAATAAGTTGTATCGATTTTATTACTTTCTATCATCCAAAGAACACCTGTGGAAAAAATGAACGAAATCACATAAATCCTGGTCTATACTCACCACCCCAGTGATGCGAGAAACTGTTGTTGCTCTAAGCCACAAAAAAATTTCCTATGTACAGTTCACTTATAAATAATAATTTTAGAATAATGTGCAGTAGTTATTATGTAGTTTTCTTGTTTCATCAATAGAGAAGTTCTGTAGATTTATTATTGACATTACTGCGGATTTACTCCAGATAAGTGACATCTTCAGCATATCCACCGACTGCTGAAAACCACCACTCAAGGATGTCTGATTTTACTCGGAAGAAACAATGATCAATTTATGCTCTAGTTTGGCAATAGTACTGCACTCAGTGGTTTATTTCTAGTGTAATTAGGCATTGTTTATTGGTGGCTTTTTCAGGTCCAACTCTCAGGTGTATAATGTATAACTTAACCTGACCTTACAGAACTTCCTGGAAACGAAATATAAACCAAAGTCATCCGGATAAATCACCACTATACAGTATGTCTAGTTTAAGGTTATGGCATATACTACCCATTGTAATCTGTAACTTTCTGTATGGTCATTAGGGGTTGACTGTATAATTATGATGGTTAAGAAAATTAGATAATATCTTAGACTTAATAGAGAAAGACTGCAGGATCTGTGTACCAGAACTAACTATCTCGCTAAGCTGTAACATTTTGTGACATGCTGCACAGCTGGATACAGTCACTGTTGATTACAATACAGGTACCTGTATCTTGAAAATGAATTTAATTTTGAGGGTGTTTGTTAAGTGTTTAATATTGAAGATTATCACTGCTGTAGTTGCACCGATATACTGTAAATTTCTATTGTATATTACCCTCTGTTTCTCCTGGCCATGGTCAGAAATCTCACCCCCTTGCAGTCTTTCTGTAGGTAAGTTGCGTCTGTAACAGGAAAAGTTTTTCCATTTTAATAAACATTGGGACGAACAATCTAGACCGAAATTGCACCCCGAGTGATGCATCTGCCAGCCCACAAGACTAGTGGGAGGAATTTAGGTGGTTGAAAGACCACATGAGGGTTCAAAATGTCTCTGCCACAAAATTATGTTTGGTTTTATGATACTGTTACTGTCTCTTGGGTTTTATACAATGATAAACATGTTTATTTTTAAGAAACTGTTTGTATAAGTCAAGAATCATATTTACACAATGGTAAGTGCTGTAGAATTGTTATAGGGAAATCATTTTTAATTTTTGAGGAACTTAATTTTTATTTTCTTGTATAGTAAATGAAATCATTGTACGGTACTTTTCTCAATAGTGTACAGATGCTTTATGTTATTCCTCAGGTGTTTAGACTTGCAGAAGGTCTATAACTGGACAACAGAAGAATTCAAGACCTTCTTTCTCCCTCACACAAGATGTCAGAATATACAACGGGTCAATTTAAACCATGTATATTGGATCAAATTACCCAACTTTGTGGTAAAACTAAAAAATTTGGTGTCGTTGCATATGCTAGGAATACGTATGAAATTTATGCAACTCAAGTGGATTCTTACATCTTGCCCAAAGGTGTGTATTGTTCTCCGAGACAGTAAATATATTCTTTTGTTTTCACATTTATAAATCCTTCTTTACTATAGTGAGTAGAATCAAGGACAACACAGCCTCTAGGTAGAATCAAGGACAACACAGCCTCTAGGTAGAATCAAGGACAACACAGCCTCTAGGTAGAATCAAGGACAACACAGCCTCTAGGTAGAATCAAGGACAACACAGCCTCTAGGTAGAATCAAGGACAACACAGCCTCTAGGTAGAATCAAGGACAACACAGCCTCTAGGTAGAATCAAGGACAACACAGCCTGTAGGTAGAATCAAGGACAACACAGCCTCTAGGTAGAATTAAGGCTTCATTCTTTTTTGCAAATATTTGTTCTAACAGGCTGTCTAGATTATGTCCTGCCATTGTGTTGTCCTTGTCATGACCAACACATCAATTCCTCAGAACCATTCTCTATTGTGTTGTTAATCTTTAAGTTCTTTACTCTACAAGGACGTCATTCGGAAATTCAGAAGAAGATGTTTAGAGAATTCAAGAAGGAAGGAAGATTCATTATATATATAAATTATGAAGTGAAGTTTGGGAATTTTAAGGCCAAGGAAACAAACCTCGACAAAACAGATTGGATAATATTGCTACTCAACATAAGAAGAATATTTATACGTTTCTTATTGTTTGACATCTGTAGTTATCATCACCTTCATCTTAGAATCTATAAGTGATGTTTAGTTTAATCACTGGCATGTTAGGAGGTTTCTCTGTATGGATGGATGAGTGGGTGTGTATTCATGGTGTGGCTGTCGTGTATTGAGCAAGTTTTGTATATAGTGGTGTACAGTAAAAGGTATTATGATTAAAGCTATCAGGAGAGATGAGCAATGCCAGTAGCTACTTTGGTTATAGGAGAGAGAAGTATCTACAGTAGCTACTTTGGTTATAGGAGAGAGAAGTATCTACAGTAGCTACTTTGGTTATAGGAGAGAGAAGTATCTACAGTAGCTACTTTGGTTATAGGAGAGAGAAGTATCTACAGTAGCTACTTTGGTTATAGGAGAGAGAAGTAACTACAGTAGCTACTTTGGTTATAAGAGAGAGAAGTAACTACAGTAACTATTTGGTTACAGCTCCAAGATCTCTCCATCAGCTGGCCATACGACATGGAGTCAGATAATTCAATGCAGTGGATGGGTGGATTTAATGAGGTGAAGGAAGTACTCAGTCTGCTGGAATCTTTACACATACTAATACATGCCAACCCTGTACCCGTCCTAGAGCTTCTTGGTCACTGTACAGGACTCAAGAAACTAGTCATCACCAACCACCACGCAAGCAGGTTCCTCAGTACCCCAGGGACATTATCTGGTAATTTTTGCATGAAAAGACATAGAGAAATAAATGTTCAGATAAATACATCAATGTAGGATTGTGTTAAGAAGAAAGTAATGTATTGGTAATTAATTGCTAGATGTATGAGGGTAAACATAATTATTTTACACAGTTGATGCACTTCATTAGTTATAATTCTATTTATATGTACTTAATGTGACATCATTATACTGTATGCACAGTTGCCCTTTTTGTTATATTCCTTGTCTCACAGGTGACTCAATACATGTGGCAGTGTGCAGTGGAAGTAAGATATCCCCAGCTAGGGGAGGGAAGACAACAGAGTCCAACAACATAATTATAACACATCTCCCAGTTGGGGTACAGCACTGTGACTGTGACATTGCCACATGTACAGTATGTACTAAGTTGCATGTGAGACAAGGAACATAACATATGCTGGCAACTGTACTTTATGTTAGTTTCATTCCATTTTGAGGTAAATGGTAAGGAAGAAGTACACCAAGTTGTAATACTCTTAAGCTCTGATCCTTAACTCTTGCTAAGCAAAGCAGAATGGCTTGAGGCTGTTCCTTTGTGATTGCTTCATTAATAAATTTTCTGATTGACTCACTTCATCAACAATAAGGTTATCATCCCGGTAAAGGATACAAGTAATAATTTTTTTTTCGTGGAAAATGTGTCACAGAAATAATATTTTAAAAGTATTTTGTTATTAACTAGCAGGTAAAGAATACAACTTGAAACTCCCTCACCTTCAGGACCTCATAATAGACCATGCAGATGGCAGCTTCCCAGACCATCTTATAATGTGAGTTTTCTGTGTGTGTGTGTGTGTGTGTGTGTGTGGTGGGGGGGGGGGGCACTGAGATTCATGTTTTCATAATTGTTAAGTCTTCAACTTTCTTTGTGATTTGTTATAAAGTTTTACAAAGATAAAACTATAATGTACAGCATGTTACCGGACACTAACTATGGCATTAAAGCTCGCCTCCAGCCTCACCAGGAATTGTGTTAATGTATTGGTTCTTATTCCAGGGGTCTTCTCCACAACATACTAGAAGGTTGCAAAAGTTCTGCTGACTGGAGGACCTACTGGACCAATACACCAGTATATCTGCATGCAAAACCTTTTAGTAAGATCAGTTTTTTCTCTTCCCTTCTGGGGAGAGATATGGAATCATACATGGCCACCTGTGTTTGTATTGATGTGTGCACACTTTTGTCAAGACATTTTGTGATTGTACAAACTTGAACATTTACTGAGGTGACCATGTCTTGTTTTAAACTTTCATCAGGATAAAGCAATATGTCATTGGATCCTTTTTCCCCCTCCCTAGGGAATCAAATAGACATAATAAAGAACTGCTGGAGGGTGTCCCTTTCACTCACACCTTCAGTATGGACGATGATGCGTGAAGCTGGAACTCTCAGTCAGATGGAGGAACTTTTGGTTAAGGGCCACGCACCGTGCAGTATGAATCTTACCACCATTGTTCGTTCTTGCCCCAATCTCAAGAGTTTAAACGTTATGAATGGGCTCAATCTTACACTGGTATGTTATGACTAAGAAAATAAGTGAACATTCTCACTATTTTTTTTTTTAATGCCATCCAAAATTGGGGGAACTTATGAGACTTTTTTTCACTTCATCAACCTCATTTTTCTTGTCTGGTCCATAACTTTTTAATTACAAATGTAAATAACCATCTCCATTGCCTGTACTCTGTGTGTGTGTGTGTCTGTGTGTGTGTGTGTTTTAGAATGATATTGATCCTAGAGTGTGTACAGTCAACAAAAACCTATCTACAGACAAAAAATTCTGACCAGCTCTTGAGTCTTGCCTTATACAGTACACATGTATTACCTGTAGTAGCCCTGCTCTCCCGATACTGCAGCGACCATAAGTGGATTTGTCTGTTTCTCTATTTATGCCATTTCCTATAACAAATATATCACATTTTATTTTTGAAAAATTATTTAAATTTAATGTAAATAAAAGAATAAACATGATATAGAAGTTAAATAAACAACTGAATGTATGCTTAACATTCTTCAATTTTCACAGTAATTTGTTTTGGTATTTTATAGCAACACCTTTAGATTATTTTCACCTCATTTGGCCAGTCTGTTGTGTTCACTGTATTGACCAACACTCACTGTATGAATCATTGGGCTGCTTTATATCACATGTGCTACTGACAACTTTTAGTACAAGTTCTACTAAGAAACACATTTAATTGACTTAAAAAAGTAATTTTGGCTCTCAAAACTCCTCCAAGTAACTACAGGGGGTATTATCATTTTCAATTCCTAATTATGCCAAGATATCATTATCATCATCATCATCATCATCATCATTTTATGGCAATTTTCCAAGCTTATCTGGGAAAGACATTACACAGTTGATCATGTTGACTTTGGAAAATAACTTCTACAGTATGATGAAAGACAACAAACATTCACTCAGACCTTGACAAAGTTATAATTGAATAAGTTTTACAGATTTGTTTTTTTCCAGGACATAAAGAAAGTGAGTGAAATATTACCAAAGCTGGAGAGGTTGAGCATCTGTTGTCAGCCTGAACAAGGACCATCAAAGATTGCTGAAGGGATTGCAACATTCCATCACTTGACTCACCTAACAGTACCTATCTGTGCTCTTATAGGTTGGTTTATGACACCACACCTTTGTTTGAGCAACCTGCGATTATTCATATCTATGATCAAAGATAATTAAATAATATTACTATTTCACAATTTACCTTTACAGAAACACAACAAGTTCAGAAAACCTACAGCAACACGTCAGGCATGCATTTCAGTAATGGATATAAACGTCAAAGACTTGGTGTGCCAACTAAAAATAATCTGAGCGAAGTTGAATTAGCGGCCTTTAACCTAGTGTTTCAAAACTGTCCAATGATAACAGTGCTAGAGATTGGGTTTAACAAGAGGTAAGTCCCTGAATGTTGCAGGCTCCATCTCTAGTGGCATATATGACAAGCTTTCTTTATTACAATCAGGAAAATTCATGTAAAAGGTTAAGTTTTATATTCTTCAAAGCAGTAAAAAAAGTTAAAATTTTTTGGGGGGGGTAATTATTCTTTGAAAGGGAACACATAAGTGATATTTGACCCCACCCCCCCTCCCCACAGTACATCGTGCAGCCCGGCTAAAATTCGTTGGGAGTGTTTGGAAAATGTCAAGAAACTGAAGAAGTTAACGCATCTTACGCTTGATGGTATTCCCATAACTAATGGGAGATTCCTAATAGAGGTGAGATTAAAGGATTGATTACCATTACTGCAGTTTTTGGCATATATAAGATCTATTAGTGTGTGTGTGCGCATGCGTGCGTGCATGCGTGCGTGTGTGTGTGTGTGTGTGTGTGTGTGTGATTATTGTTGATAGGTTTCTCTGGGTACTATAGTGCTGACAGTGCAGGAATTTGTTTGTAATAGTAATAATAATAATAGTTTTTTTTTTGTTTCTCAAAAGCTCCAGTTCTTCAAAAGAATTCAATAGCTCTCAAAACACTACAGGGTCAACGACTTGAGAATGAAAAGAAATACAGTACTGTACTACAATAAAAGATCACATAAAGTGACAGTTTAACTTCTATCATTCGTATACTGTTAAGTTTTAATAGTTTTTAAACCCTGTAATTCTCCATCACTGTAGCCTGTTGAGGATCATAAGTTTAAAAAAAATAAGGTATATTAAGTTGTTTCTTTAAGGTGTTGTGCTGTATAGGAAAAGGATCGGGCAGCAAAAGAACATTCCCGTATTGCTCTAGGCTCCTCAAGTTGTGAAGGACCATCACTACTACGCAAAGTCATTTCAGAATGTGTAGTCAGTGGAATTAGTAGGTCGGCCAAATACTTGGCTCACCAAATATTACTGTCTTAAAAGTCAGTGGAAGTCAATGTAATTCGACCAAGAATGGTGTAGTGGAGTCCTCGGTGGGAGAACAAAAATAAGCCTGGCAACCCTGATCAACACAGTTTTCTTCAGCAGATAATTAAGTAGGCAGACCCACTAAGAGACAAAATGAATGTAATAGTGTTACAAGACAGTCTATCCCAAAACTGTACTACTGTACTCTGATAGTACAGGGATGTTCATGTACTATACTGTGCTACACTGAAAGTACAGAGTTGTTCATGTATACACAGCTAGTACACTACAGAGTTAGCATGTGTGATCTAACACAACTGCCACACATAACTCATGTCTTGCTTATCCTCACTTCCGGTCTTCTCACACTTGACATTACTGAATCTTTCAGTATCATGGGCACTGGTGATATAACAAAGGTACTTGATATAACAAAGGTACTCAAACTATCCAACCAGGAGCGAACTCGTAACAATAGTTTTAAATTAGACGACTTTAGATTTAGGCGCGAGATAGGTAAACATTGGTTTGGAAATAGAGTAGTGGATGAGTGGAGCAAGTTACCAAACATCATCATTAACTCGAATACGCTGGGTAACTTCGAACATAGGTTGGATGGATATATGAGCAATAGGGGTTGGGTGTAAATGGGACTGCCCAGTATGGCCCGCTGCAGTTTCCTCCATTCTTATGTCTTTATGTACCCTCTTGCAATTAGAAAGGCTGCTATTCATTTACAGTACAGTATATTATTATTTCTAAATAATTGTTTTTTATGTTCTGTATAGTATACAGTACATTACAGGTGCCTGTAGTTTTGAAATAAAGAAATTAAATTGATTGAGAAGACGAATCTCTTACTAGGAACTCTGGTTTTCTTTCCTTTTTTCAGATAGCCAAAGGATGTACGGAATTGGAATTCCTCCGTTTGAAACACTTGGGACCTTCAGGGATATGTTGTTATATATCTCACTTATCACAAGCACTTGCCTTCTGCAAAAACCTTGTCCACTTAAGGTAATGTCACAATTTGGTGCAATCATCAGTATACCCTACGAACATTAGATTGTATTATAGGTGTATTCTTTAGTTGTATTCATTCACTGTTACCCCTTTTGTCTGTCTGTCTTTTACCAATACTGTGCTGCCGTTAATCTCTCTCACCAATCAGTCGGACATTTTGCTGCCTATTTTTCATCGTATTGGTTGTTCTGATCTGTACTGATGTAAAATTTTTCCTTATTCAATATTTCTTCATTCATCTGTTATGTTGTAATGAACAGTTGGAAAATTAATTTTGTATTATCAGTTTTTCTAGATTTGGACAGTTATTATTTCTCTTTTTAACTATTTAAACCGAGTTATTGTAATCCTTTCCAGAATTGAGCAAAACTACCTTGCTCCTGGGACAGCCATCTTTAAGGCCTTGATAGAATGTGAGAAGCTCGAGAGACTCTTCTTTCATGCTGAGAGGGACATGGTGGGCTTTGACACCAGCAGCATCGACGATCTCATAGAGAAGCGGACAAGTCTAGTGTTCGTCTTTATTGTTGGTAGTCAGACGTTCAAAGATAAGTGCGCGAAGCTCACACGAAAGTACCGGTACAAAAATTTGTAAGTTGTTATTTGTTTATTGAGTTTCTTATTTGTAAAAGTTTCTCTGTAAAATTGAAAACAGTATCTAGTATAAAACTTGAATATTTTTTAATACAAAATATGAATTTATATATACTTTTTCTTTTCTAAAATTTTTAAGATGTTCTCACAAGTTTTTATGGAAGTTTAAAATGAGTTACACAACTTATTCACAGTATTACTTGATCTTCAGTGATGTGTACCAAGGTTTTTTTTGTTGTACAGTATTATTTGGAAAACTTATATTCCATATCTAACACAGATTGGAGTATAAATGTACTGTACTGTACTGTCCTATTCTGTACTATATTAAGAAAAATATCTTCTATCATACAATATTTGTTTTCAGTATATACGGCTATAACACAGAGGTTCATTCCTTTAAATTTCAGAAGCCGTCCAGCTCTTGTTGTGCGGGTCCGGAGGGCTCTCTGGGACGTCTTTGATGATAAGAACACAGAGACCCGCACTACACCTGCCTGCCACTACAATGACATGATTACCTTCAGAAGCTGGACTTTTGACTCATTTACGTAATATTGCATCATTGTTTACCTTTGCTCAGGTTAATTAATGTAACCATAACTCTTTTGTTCTTATGTGAAAATACTCTATGGTGAATGTTCGAGTTGACGGTTCTGGGGAAACATATTCAACACACTCTGTCATGCCATTACAATATGTTTTGTTTTAAAATTAAAGTTGAAACCATCGTGCTTCAGTCGTGATAAGTCAAATTATTTGTGGTTCTGAGGAAACGTCAGCCATATTGGTGATGACATCAGAAGATGGAAGCAGATGACTCATAGTGAAATTCAGCACACACTGTACTTGTTGAAGTGCCTTTTTCTAAAAAAAATAGTGACCGTCAACTCGTACAATATATAAAGCATATTTATTTATAAATAATTCATATAGTTTTTTGTCTGTGTAGAATTCTTTTGATATTTTTGTAAAGTTTATCTTCTGTTAAAAATTTGAAGATATAATGTACAGATATACAGTACTGGAGACGTACCACAATGGGGAGTACAGTACAGTACAGTACAGTATTAAGATTTTAAAGAGGGAAATTATTATTAAAACTGAAATTAATAAAATAATTATGATAATTGTGATGTTTTTAATCTTACCTATAAGTGATTTTTAGTGAGAGAAAAATTTAAAGGCTTTGCTCTGCCCCAGAGGAACGAGAGCATCGGCCCCAAAGCCGACAACAGTTGCAGATATTGACTATGAGGCAACAGTCACTGAATGCCGCATAGATCTGCGGCTCAACTAACTCAACACAGCTAGGATAGCTACTTATGTATTAGGATATTGAATATTAAGGTAATAAAATGGTGACCAAGGTATGGCTATTGGGGGAGGCTGGAGGCCATATATTTTGCAAAAAAACAAAGTACAGAGCCATAGATAGAGAGAGTTTGGCCAACCAGGCACCATGTTGTTACTCTGCGGGTGGGAAGTCATCTCGGGCTGTTACCCACAGAGTTTATAAATACTGTATGCTTATCCAATTGTAAACATATATGACAATTTTGCTGACTAAATATCATCATCCTCTACAGTATGAGCGCAAACTTCTTCATCAGCTGAGTAACAACTTGGCACCTGTATGTCACCGAGTTGACCGAACTCACTCTAGTTATGGCTCTGCTAAGGTAGAGAAAGCACTGCCACCTATGGAGGAAATTATGAACTACAATATATTTGAGAAAACTGCCATCTATGGAGAGGGTTATGAACTATGGCATATAAGAGAAAGCCTTGCTATTAATAAATTGATTAATACACGCATGCAAATTATACTGATAAAAAGAAGCTAAAATTTCTGGATGTAACTGAACTCAGTGAGAGAAATACTGTACAATGTTTCCTTCTCAACTCTCTGCTTCCTTTTGTCTTATATGGAACAAATATTTATATAAAATAAATCTTTCACCTCTTTTGACATAACCTTCACTAATGTCTATTTTTGTGTTTCAGTCTCTTGTGTTTAAACTTAAAAATAAACCTAATGAAGAACTTAAGATTCTTTAAAATTTTTACAGGGTCTAGATGAAATAAAAAATACTGGTAAGTGTTTTTGATAATTTTTGTGTATACAGTTATGTGTGTGTGTGTGTGCATGGGGAGAGCAATGAGAGGTACTTGTCTCCTTTGTGAAATGAGATTTTTTTATTAATTCACCGTATGTATATGAATTAAAAGTTTTAAAGTCAATTCATAATGCCACGTCACATAATGAATTTAAAACAAGTCTTATGCTTTCGAATAAAAACCTCGATCAAAATATGGAAAGAATAGCATCCATCTTAAGTCTGGAAATTATCTTAAACAATTACATTATACAAGAAAATACTGTAATAAATTCTGAGCCTTTGGACATACAATATACACAAGAGTTGAAATTAAGATAACTTTACATGGCTGCGTGTAAAAAACCAATGGCATCCCTCATAAAAAAGGGAATATTGTGACCTGTATCCCTTCTTTAATAAACATGTACAGTATACGGTATATAATAAACTACCAACATTTATTTAGGCATTTAATGAATAGTATTGGGTTTAAGTCTACGAAATTACGGTCTATAAATAGGCGGGGGAATAATGTAAATCTTATCTAGTATGGTAATGTATTTTTATAAGCTAGCTGCTTTATATAAGGTGAAATTACTATACAGGGTAAAATAAAATAAAAAGCCTTGAAAAACAAACCAAAACTTTCTGTATCCTGTAGCATTACTTAAACTAACATAAAAAAATTAAACCCCATAAAATCCAAGCTAATCTTTAATAGCACTTTGACCTTACTCCTCCCTTTTTTGTTATCCTTGGTGAATATACTGTATATATGCTTGAATTTTAACCAGATAAAATAAAATTAAGGTAAGGAAATATACAGTATAACGGATCCTTCCTACACTCCTGTACCATGGTCTGGTCGGCTGGTCATCCCTATTGTATTGCTAATCCGCTATCTGTCCCGTGATCAGGCTCTACTCTAACATTCTGAGAGGGTCGCACGATCAATATTCCTCCTAACAATAGATGTGAGAATACTGTACTAATACTGTAGCTGGTTAACTTTAGCTAACACATAACATCAAAATGAGACTGTCAATAATCTTAACTTTCTTGAAGCGTCCACGTAGCACCAGTTACAAGACAAAATTAAAGCAGAAAATCATTAGATGGATTCTATTTTAACATATCTATAATCTACTTAAGTAAGGCATAGTCTCATTACAACATTGATGTCTTTAGTAAGGTGGGGTGAGGAGGACCCAGGTGGACTCAGAGCAGCTCCACGAGACCGACGAACCTTTGTGGTGAGATCTTATTGTTATCTCGTCATCAAGAGGCCGCTGTCTCCCTCACCCTGCCAAGATAACTATCACTGGAGACACCACTACAAAATCATTTCACTGCGTTTCTTTCACAATATAAACTGTAAATAGTTGTATATATATATAGAAAGTTAATAGAAATAAAAGAACTTAATTTAAATGTTTCTTTGCCTCCTATAGTCATTACAGTGTCTCTACCGCCTGCCAGCTAGGTTTAATCCACTAGAGCACATTTCTCTAATAATAACTCTGGGACCACACCAAATAACCTAACGTAACCTAATTTAAATCTATCCTGGCTGAGAGTAGGTTAAGTTCGGCTGGGCTATGCTGTCTACTCACAAACGGGACAACGAATCAGCCAAACTTAACCTAGATTACTCAAATATAACCTAATCTAACCTAACAACGGAAGCTATACTGTCTATATATATATTGTATACCTATATTGGCGATGTACACGTAAGCTATACTACTGTGAACTTGTATGGAGACTGACTCACTCTCTCTCTCTCTCTCTCACCAATAACTTCCCCTCCCTCCCATTTTCCTCACTACTCCATCGGTACTCGGCAGGTTATAGAAAGAACAGAGAGATGTCTTTAGAAACATTTCCCACACTTCCTCTCAAAGGTTCTGCCGCGTGTGTGATGATCAAAGTCTCCCGCCCCGTCACACGTCCGTCTCACAGGGTGGAGTGTGACAAAGGCTGAACGTTGAGGAGGGAGCCGGCTGTTTCATCACCAGCGGAGATATTTTTCTTCTGGTGTCTTTTTGGCGAGGTGTATTTTAGCGAGGACTTTACCAAACCTAACCTAAACTAGTATAAACTAATCTAAACTAACTTAATCTAACGAAAATGAACTAACCTAAACGAAACTAACCTAATTTAACCAAACCTGACTTAAGTGTGCGTATGTATTTGAGTGTGTATACCGGTATGTATATTTAAGTACGTGTATTATGTTTAAGTAAATATATATATATATGCTTGAGTATATGGAGTGTGCATAAAACTCTAATTTGTTTTTTTTTTTACTTTTATCCTCTTCACTGATCGACTCGTTAGCCGCTTGGGCGATCGGTCACGTCTCTGTTACGCTCTGTTGGCAAGTACTGGGCATGAACTGGCTCCTGAATGTACAGGGTATCTGAACCTGCTGCAGTGCTTGTCAAGTCTGGTCTTAAAAGAGCTCACACTCGGTGCCCTCACAACACTCTCAGGCAATTTGTTCCAAGAGTTCACAACTCTCACTCCGAAAAAGTTACCCCTCACAATTTTCTAGGCTTGCAGCTTCTTCAACCTTGAGCTGTGACCCCCTTGTGGGGCGAGCGTCCGCCAGCTCCAGGTAAGGGCACTCGACTGAGTAGTGCCCTTTGAGATGTTTATGCACCTCAATTCGGTCCCCCCTTGCTCGTCTGCAGTATAAGCAAGAGGCAATTTCAAGCGCTCTAATCTCTCTGGGTAGCTGAGGTGCTGTAGTGCAGGCACCAATCTGGTGGCCCTCCTTTGGACATTTTCAATCAACTGACAGTCCCTAGCATATCTCGGGGACCAGACGGAGTGACAGTACTCCAGAAGGGGAAGCACTTCACTACTGAAAATGGTTACGAGGGACGGAGTGTCTACATACCTGAACGACCTTCTTATAAGACCTAATAATTTAGTTACCTCATTCACCTTCTTCTCGCAATGGCCAAGAACTTCAGCTCATTGCCAACATACACACCCAGGTCCTTTTCACATTGTCTCAATTAATGCAGTCTCTTCGTACCGTTGGTACTTCCCAGGTACAGCCTCTTACACTTCGCAACACTGAATCTTAGCAGCCATTTCTTCGACCATTCTTTAAGCTCACAGAGATCTTTCTGCAGCTATTCACAGTCTGCTTGGTTCTTAATCTCCCGAAATAGCTTGGCGTCATCCGCAAACATTTGTATGAAGCAAACAAACAACAGCGGGCCCAGTACACTGCCCTGTGGTACCCCGCTTGTGACGGGTACACATGATGATTTCGTGCCATTAATCACCACACACTGCTTTTGGTCATGTAGAAAGTCTCCGATCCAAGCTAGGACATTTCCCCGAATTCCGTACCCTTCCAGTTTAATTTGTAGCCTTCCATGGGGTACACTGTCGAATGCCTTGGCAAAATCTAGGAAAATATTGTCGATATTACCACCCTGTTCCAGAATTTGTGTCCAAATATCCAGTACCTTGAGTAATTGTGTTAAGAAGGAACGCCCCGTCATAAAACCGTGTTGGCAATCCTTTACAAGGTTGTTTCGTAGTAGATGCTCCATCATGGCATCTCTTATAATGCTCTCAAGTACTGTACATATTATGCTGGTCAGGCTCACCGGTCTATAGTTGTTCGTGGAGTGACGATCGCCCTTCTTGAAGATAGGACTCACATGTGCCATTTTCCAATCACTGGGAACCTTTTGCAAATCGAGGCATTTACAGAACAGGATCTTAAGGGGCTCAGCAAGCTCACTGCACAACTCTCTTAGCACTCTGGGACGCATCATGTCAGGTCTGGGACTCTTATGGACCTTTAGGTTGGACAGTTTATTTCTTATACCCTCTTCTGTGAACACAATGTGGGTCAGTGCTGTGTCGAACCGTCTGTCCTCAAACGCAGGAAGGTTAGTTGCATCCTCTCTTGTGAACACCGAGGAAAAGAAGCTGTTCAATGCCTCAGCTTTATTCTGGTCAGAATCTGCATAACTACCATCT